CCCACTTAGGCTATGATTTCCTTCAAGGCAGCCCCCAGCTCTGGGAAGGAATACTGGTAGCCAGTGGCCAGTGTCCGCCGTGGGATCACCTTCTGGCCCTCCAGCAGCATGATGGCGCGTTCTTGTCCAAAGACAGCTTGCACAATGGTGCTAGGGAGAGGGATGAAGGCCGGGCGGCCTAGGGCGGTGCCTAAAGCCTGTGCAAACTCAGCATTTGTAGTGGTAGAGGCTGGAGCCACTCCATTCAGGACGCCCTGCACGTGGCTTGCTTCAAGGGCATGGGCCAGGATTCCTGCCAGGTCCCCGATGTGAATCCAGGGGAAGAACTGTTGGCCAGAGCCGATGGGGCCCCCCAGGCCCAGGCGGAAGGGCAACAGCATGTGACCAATGGCACCGCCCCCACGGCCCAGCACAACCCCTAGAGTAGGCAAGAAGGATGGTACAGGGAGGCCCCTCAGCCTCCAGGCAGCCCACTGTTTCTCCCCATCTCCCTTTTCTCACTCTTTCCCCACGCTGGCTTAGCTCTGTTGTCGTCCAAGAGCGCGGCTCTCTGGGACTTCCCATCCTCCCATCTGCAAGTGGGCTCGAAGCAGTGGCATCCTCACTCAGGAAGCTCAGCTCCCCTTACCCCCCAACCCCCCAGCCCAGAGAAGACATTGCAACCCTGCCTGACACGCAGGCCCCTTGTTCTCACCAGAGCGTACCACCACCTGGCGTGTAGAATCTCCAGGAAGTCTGGCTGCAGCTTCCCACTTGGTTACGAGGTTGGAGAAAAAGTCAAAATCCCCTCCTGGACTGTCCTCATCATACTCAGCAGTCAGGCTGGGCTGGTAGTAAGCTGCCGGTAGAACAGCGCTTGTTTGCCCTGGCTGTCTTGGTCCTGCCTGGCCTTTTGCCATAAAGGTCCCCCCTTGGCCTTTGGATGTCCCCATGGGACAGAGCCGTAAGTATTTTTCCCTTGAGCTTCTTCATTAGCTGACCTGTTACTGCCTGGATTAACTTACATTTAGCTGCACGGCGAAGCTGAGAGGCTGCTAGAGTGTAGTGGTTAAGAATAAAGATGTGGGCGCCAGGCTGAGTTTTAACCTCAGCCCCACCATTTATCAACTCTGACTTCAGGCAAATTACATAACCTCTCTGTGCAGAATATCTGCATCTTTAAAATGGAATAATAGGCCCTAGCCAGTTTAGCTCATTGGACAGAGTGTTGGTCGGCCTGTGGACTAAAGGGTCCCAGGTTCAATTCGGCATATGCCCAGGTTGCGGGCTCAATCCCCAGTAGGGGGCGTGCAGGAGGCAGTGGATCAATTATTCTCTCATTGATGTTTCTATCTCTCCCTCTCTGAAATCAATAATATATTAAAAAAATAATAAAATGGAATAATAGTACCTACCCCATAGAGTTCTTTTGAGGATTAAATGCTGTAATATGTGTAAAACATTCAGTGGCTGGTGTATATGTTAACACTATTTGCAATTATTTTGGTCCCAAAGGTGAAATACAAGAATCAGAAATGCTGCTCCTAAAGATCTGTGTTGTGAGAAGCAAGGGACGTGGTACAACTCCACTCTCTTTCTGAGGGTCTATTTCTCGGCGAAAGTCCACAAAGGTCAGGAGAAACGTGCATGGAACAAGGGCCCAGGAAGAAGACCTCTGGGCATGGATGGCTAGAAGGGCCTGAGCTACCCCCTCACTGTGTACTCTCTTCCCCTGGCTAATGTAAGGGGTTGGTGATTTGGGGCATACCTACACCTGTGACTAGGATCCAGGCTTGGGGGGGTTGTGGGGCCTTGGTGATGGCTCTAGCCAGCAGGTCGGTGGTCTCCAAGCGGCTGCTGAGAACCTCTTTTTGGAAAGCTTCATTCCACCTGCAGGAGAAACACGGGAAATAAGCCACTGAATGCATACATGCACATCTCCCTTCCCCTCTCTTTCCCTGAGGCTCGTCCATGCCCATTTCTAAGTAAAACCCTGCACTGTGGCTTAGAGAAATTGTCCGTCTCTCCTATAGAGGGAAAAGGCATATCCCTTTGGGCATCCTGAGTTGTAAGTGAGGACTAAAGCCGACTGGCCGAGTGGGAAGAAGCGAGGGTAGGTTTGGGGAGTCGGGCGGGATGAGCGATCCGGGACCCGGCCTCTCCATTCATTCTTCACATCTCAGAGGGTCTGAGTCGTCCCTCTCCACCTCCTGCTCTGAAGGGCCGGTCTTAGGGCCCAGCACGGACTGACCTTCGCAGAGGGTTGAGGATGTTCTCTCCAGCCAGGTTGACTGCGGCATCGCAGCGGGGCAGCCCCGACGTGGCGAGCTCATCCTGTCAGAGAAAGCAAAGCGCACAGTGCCCGCCTCGCCCAGCGCCACCAAAGGGCCACCCCTCCTCCCCGCCCCCAGCCTCCCGAGGGCGGACATACCCACGTGATCCGACCCGGGCCGCGCTGTCGGGAGATGAGTGTCACTTCGTGACCTCTGGCTTTCAGCAGTTGGCTTAGGGCTGTCCCAATGAAGCCCGTCCCGCCACCTGATCAGAAAATACGAGGTGTTTGTTCTCCAGGGGGTGCCTTCCGTTCCCGCATGTGGCCCCCTCTTCTGGCGCCAGGCCATTTGCCCCCCGCCTCCTCCCCTCTTCCTCGGCCCCGTCTCCGCGATACACAGGTGACCCCGATCACAGGGGTTAGGGAGATTCGGCTTCTACGGTTAGGAGGCCAAGGCCAGGTTGCCGGGGCACGAGACAGTGCCCTCCCTCGGGGTCCACCTAGCTCCCCAACTCCGGCTCAATCTTCTTTCCATAAACCCGCCCCCCACGTTCCCTCTTTGCCCTCCCTCACCCACGAGCACCCGCATAGCAACCAGGACCTAACGCGCCTGCGCAACATCTAGAAGCTGGGGGGGGGGGAGAGGGAGGACACGCGCATGCGTCCTTTGGGAGGGGCGCTCCCAATGGGGAGTGGGCAGGTCGGGATCGAGACTGGGCGTGGCTCTGCCCCGTGACCCGGAAGAATTCCTAGCAAAGGCGGTACTACACGCAGTTCACTGCGAGGCGTGGCCCGGCCTGAGTGTGTGTGGTTGTGTGGGGCAGGCGTGGGCGGGGTGGGGGAGTCGAGGGAGGGGTTGGAAGGGTAGCGGCGGGGTTGGCCCTGGGGCCGGGAAAGAAGGGGAGGAGGCGGGAAGATGCGCTGGAGCTAAAACCCGAAGCTGCTCAAGCCCATAGCTTCTGGAGGTACAGTTTGGTGGGCCATTACTCCGAAAGAATCCACCCACGAGCTAAAACCCGAAGCTGCTCAAGCCCCTAGCTTCTGGAGGTACATTCAGTTTGGTGGGCCATTACTCCGAAAGAATCCACCCACTTTTACAGTGGATTTCTTTTTACGCGGCCTTTTATTTTTCCTTTGTTCCAGCCCCTTCCCATCGGCGTTTAAGCATCCTAAAGTTTCCCCCGTCTTTAAAGAGCCCTTCTGCAGCCCCCTTTGTCCTCTGCTAATGTCCTCCGTCTTCGCCTTCATTGCCAGACGTTCCCCATGAGCCGTGTCCGTTTTCTCCTTCCCACTTCACTGCCGTCTGGCTCTGACTCCATCGCCCATCGCCTCTCTCGCCAAGACTGCCAGTTTCTCATGTGTCACTAAAAGGAATGCCTGGTTTCCCAGTCATTTTTCTTGGTTTCCGTATCACTGGACACTCGCTGACTCCTCCCTCCCTTTGTGCAATGCTCATCTCTTGGTCTGCGTGAAAGTCACACTCTCCTCTGGGGTTGTCTCCTCGCTCTTTTCAGTCTCAGTTGCTTGTTTCGCCTCCTCTAAGGTTTTAAAATGTTGGTATTCCTCCAAGCTAGGTCCCAGGACCTTTCTCTTCCCACTGTGCACTTTCCCCCAAGCATCTACGTGGGTGAATTCAATTCCCAGTGTTTCAAAAACGTGCCAGATGTTCTATGCAAGTGAATCTCTCCTCTGAGTTCCTGTTTCCTATAAAAACTCCCCACGAGACATCTGTTCTTGATCGTCTGAAACCCTGTTGATTTCACTTACTAAATATTGCCCATCTATTTCTCTCTTTGCCACCACCACTCTCCTTCAAGTTATTATCTAAACCTTTGTCTAAATTTCTGCAATAGCTCCCTAATAGGTTTCCCTGCTTCTGCTTGTTTCTCCTTTCCAAACTAGTCCATACATTGCAAGCTGAATTATCGTTTAAGAACATGTGGGAGGAACACTAAGATGGCATATACATCCTAAAAAACAAAACAAAAAAACTTCAATTGCAAAGTTCCTGGATATGCTGAATAAAGTTTAACATGTCCCCATTTAAATAGATTGCTGAGCTAACTAGAAAATAAAGGAAATCCTCAGAGACCCAAAACAAAGTGTGCCTTGGTACTGAGGCTGCTTTGTGGTTGTCAGTTTCAGTAACTCAGAGGCTTGGGTGACAGGAGATGATGATTGGGAACAAAGCAAGATCAGGACTGAGACCCCTGCATAAAGTTCTTGGTGGGCTATGTCCTCAGGGAAAGAGTTAACTTAAAAAGCCCACTTAGTATAAAAGAACATGATCAGGAAACTTGTGTCTGTAGGCCTGGCTCTTGGGCAGGATTGGTTGTAGAAATATTAGTCTTTTCTCAGACTCATAGATAGTAGGCAGACTAGCTCTGGTGTTGGTGGTGGAGGTGTTGTGGGGGTGGGGGTGGGGGTATTGAGCAAAAGAGGAAAAAACAACTCATGGACATGGACAAGGGATAAATGGTAATGGAAAAAATTAAATTTAAAAAAATTAGTCTTTTTTGAGAAGTTGTAACTATTGTCCTGCCCTCATTCTGTTTTGGAGTTTGACCTCATTAGTACCTGCTTGGTCTAGGAAGCCCTAAGCCAAGAATAGGTTTCACAGGTTCTTAATAGATAAAATCCTGCCAAGCATGAGCACACAATACAAAATTACAAAACAAAGGGAAAGAAACCACTCTGAGGAAGAGTCAGCAGAAACAACACACAGCGGAGTTAGACTAAAAAGGATTTCAGGTATTAGAATATCTAAAATGTTTGAAGGAGGAGACATTAAAAACATGCAAAAGAGACAAGATGCTATAAAAAAATTCCCAGCAGAATTGATAAAGAACCAATTTAAATTCCTAAAAAATTAAAAACATAATGATTGAAATGTAAAAAACCATTGAATGAGTTTAAGCAGCAGGAAATAGATTTATCATTGGTTAAGGGAAAATAAATAAGGTATGAAAAAATTACACATAATGCAGCATAGAGAGACAAAGAGGTAGAAAATATGAAAAAAGTAAGATACAAGATAAAGTGAGAAATTCTGACTTTTTTTTTTTTTTTTGGCATTCCAGAAGAGAGGAGACAGAGAAAGGGATAGAGAAAATCTTTGAAGTGAAATAGCTGGTTAAATACCCAAAGTAATGAAAAATATGAATACTCAGATTCAGTAAACAAATCTCTAGCTGGATAAATAAAAAAATTCATGCCTAGTCGTCCTTAATAATAAAAGCATAATATGCTAATTAGACTGGATGTCCTTATGGTCGTCCTTCCATCCTTCCAAATGAAGCCGGTGCTGTGAAGGAAGCCCAGGTCCTGGGTGCCTGCCAGCAGAGGGAGGGAAGCCCAGGTCCCGGGTGCCAGAGGGAAGCCGGTGCTGGCACCCAGGGGAAGGAAGGCCTACTCTTGCATGAATTTCGTGCATCGGGCCTCTAGTCTATCCTATGTAATAATGAGGGAATACGCAAATTGACCATCACTCTACCACAAAGATGGCGCCCACAGTGGAGGGGGGGGTTTCCATAACACAAGATGGCTGGTCTATCCTATATAATAAAGAGGGAAAATGCAAATTGACCATCACTCTACCACAAAAATGGTGCCCACAGTGGAGGGGGGGCGGTTTCCATAACACAAGATGGCTGAACCCACAACGCAGGCCGAGTTCCCGTAACGAGCCTTAACGAGCAATCAGCAGGGACCTGAGGCTGTGCTCCCCCTAACCCCTGCCCCCCCCACCATGGGTTTGACAGGGGACCTCAGGCCGTGCCCCCTGCCCAGTGGGGCTTGACGGGGGACCTCAAGGTGCGCCCCCTACCCCAGTGCTGGGCCAGGGGACCTCAGGCTGTGCCC